GATAAGAATATTATTTTAACAAGAGAACAGAAGTGGGTGGTAGTATTCCTGAGCGAAAAATTCTGTTGGTAGCCCGGGAAGGGTTGCAATGAAAAGAAAATGTGAAACACGACACATCATCACGCAGGGCTCGACCCGCTGTAACGTTGCCACTAAATTACTTGTTATCACTTGTCCTCATCAGTCAATATTTGTTGTCCATCACAAACATGGCGAAACCATATAACGGACATGGGTTTTGGACATTTTCTGTCGGGGGTCGAGGGGTGGGGAGGACAGTAGCTAGTAGCGCACTACAAATCCTCTTGCCCTGAGGGCCATGATCTCCCCAACTTGAAATTGATGATCGATTTTAGTTTAGCTGGCGGCACTGTGCAGGTTTCTAACCCCGTCTGCAATTCCGAGTCCACTGGAACACCTGCAAAACGGACGAAATGGAGAATTTTGTGAAGTTCAAGGAGTGAACTGAAGAAGTTCCAACTTCACGCAGACCAGTGCACTCTACTCATTAGCGCTTCCAGTTCAAGTGGATTCAAGGATGCAGTTGGGGTACCCCTCCATTTCCTTATTTATTTTGCGAAATTTAAGTCAGAAAATCTGAAGGGAAGAAACCACTCGGCAGACGAACGCGTTCATGGGATGATGATATTAAAATAGATTTTAAAGAAAGTGCGTGAGGTTACGGACTCTCTCTAACCAACTGTACACAACACAGTCCTTGAGAAACCTGTAGTTAATCAGCTGGTGAAGAAATACGCCGATCTTATGAAACCCAAAGGTTTGTTTTCGTGTTGACAACAGACCACGATTGGCAACTTTCTTGAACCAGTTGAATCCAGTCCACACTTTTACTCGTATATCTAAAACGTTGTTCTTCCCATTACCATGTAAGATTTGATGATGTCATGGCTTTGAAGATGTTCATCGTTGTCTTTTGGTTTGTGAAGCCGTGTACACTACCGGTAAGTAGTTGCTAACCACACGACGTCAAAACCTAGAAGACTGCAACCGACTTACTTCTTTTAGCTGGGCAGTTCTTGAACAATCTGTAAGCACTACACTCATTAGTAGAGGATTACAGTGAAGTCGTAACGGTCTTGGCTGTACATTTAAGGTCCCTCGGAGTTCAGTTTGGCAGCGTTCAAGTTTCTCCTCTTCAATAGTACAAATAAGTAAGGTTCAGCCGTCGTATGAATTTTTACGAGGTGAAGCACACAGACATACCATATCTACAGTAGGAAGGTGAACAAACCATTCAGTAACCCACTATCAGCTCATCACAAACTCCTTTGAATTTCACAAGTAGAAATCACGAATAATCTATCCGATTTATCGTTCAGCCGTAGGGTATTATTAACTCATACTTCCGAATCACAGAATGCAAAATGCTTCCTAAAATATTATGTAGGCCAGACTTGGCGCTGATTAAAGAAATAGTACACGTTTCCAGTGATAATCACACGAAACCAATAAGTCCAAAATGCAGTGTTCTTTACTGTTAAAAAGCAAGTGGTACGTATATTTACCATCGCGTTTTAAAGGGTTATTGAAACTGCTTAATATTTTATGACGATGAGAAGTAAATCATGCAGAACCTCACTGTGTGTGTGTTGATCTTGTACAACGCGAACCGAAAACAACAAACCAAAATGTGCACTATAATATTTTAGATCCCAAGGCCGACATATTAATGTAAGCAGGGCATTTCAACACGACCCTATATTCTACAGAATGGATCATGGGCCCCGCCATCGATTTTACAGCCCACATGAACTTATTTTGCGATTTATTTATCGACTTTCTTGTGATTTGTTTCAGGCGGCAGGACTCGAGCTCAAGGAAAACTTAGGGACAGGCGCCGCGACGTGGCCTTACCCGTCGGTCTACCACCCTTACGACGCCGCTGCCTTTGCCGGATATCCATTCAATGGGTAAGTTACAGACACATTCATTGATTGCCACGTCAGAAATAAGTTTGTACCGCTTTGTGTTTACCATCCATTCAGGAAGATGACTGCCTCGAGGGATGTTGAGCTGTAAAGCCTGGTAGACCTTCATCGACGTTTCAAAAGTCCTTACTGCATACATCATCAAGGCGATCGAGAGACGGAATGTCCCAGATAGTCATCTTCATTCTTGCCGTAATGCCACCTTGAAATCTTACCCAGGCTTCCTACTAACCGTTCTGCCAACTACAGACCGTGGGTCTTTAAGAACGATAATTGGAGGTCGTTGTATGGATTAAGATTCGATTAAAAATGCAACACTGTCGAATGTCAACGGATGTAAGGACAGGGAATCGCGGAGGTAAATAAAAGCATCAGGACGATCTGCATATCCTCGCCGGAGGACGGACCCTCAGCTACTGTGGATCGGACGCAGTACGAGGTCCCCGCGGTCTGGAACCACACATTATCGGAGAATCTCTGGCCGCTAAATAATATACGAGATCTAACGGATTCTAGGGTGCACGAAAGCAGTTTAGTGTTACCACAGACTTGCCACATAGCGCCATGGGGTTCAGAGACAAAGTCTGATAGATGAAGGGGAATGTCATACACCAGCGTTTTCAGCATTCTTTTGTTTAATGCTAATACCATTTGTTACATTTCCTGCCAAATGTCTTATATTCACAGGTTATAAGGAGACGTTTAAGCTGAATGAGAATTATTTGCTTTTCTCTAACATTTATTTTATGTTTTATAACAAAATGTCTCATTAACAGTTAAATTTCTCGTCAGTTGTCTGATTTCACATGCTCTTAAAGGGACTTCGTCAGTTGTCTGATTTCACATGCTCTAAAAAGGGACTGGGGAAACTGAATCTTAAGTTTCTACCTTACCGCAACGTTTAAAATAAATCTGCTTAGGAGATTACAATGTTTTCTAGCAAACCTTGTTACCACACAGTTGTTTAGAATTTACGTCAAATGTAGTGACTTCATAAACTGGACTCGGACTTACTCTAGAGCGCTTTCAGAACGTTGTATGGGAGCGTAGTCTTTATATACTAACATACTTTCTTAACAGAATCAGAATAATTACACACAAAAGTCATTTGACTGATAAGTAGCTTATGGAACGTGGTGTTTTCAAGTGGGTATATTATATATCGTATTACGACATGCGGGAACAATCAGTTACTTAAATGATGACTGAACTCTGCATAAGTAGGTGTTGGTGACTTTGTATTGTGTACGACGCTTCAGAGCCATATATGAGCAACTTCCTCTGTGAATTGCAGGTGTTGAGACAGTGTCATCGGCCTTCATACTCTCGTCAACGGATGAAACTTCTGTTAATATTTTGTCTGATGTAATAACTTGACGCGTAGCGGAAACGAATTATTTGCAATCACCTTTTAAGCTTACATGGACTTCATGGCTGAAGATAATCACCGCGTAGCGGAAACGAATTATTTGCAATCATCTTTTAAGCTTACATGGACTTCACGGCTGAAGATAATCACCTATAACCAAGGCTTTGCATGTTGTATAGACACAGTCAATGCAAAACGATTATTAGTCGTTTGCTGAAGTCGAATATAAACCACGTGTTCATAATGATAATGAGCTTTTCCGCTTTTCTAATAATCCAGTAGATGTGAATTTCTTTGCACTAAAAGTTTAAAATGGGTATTTCATGTAAACTTCCTGGCTGAACGTTTATCTCAACTTAAAAATACTTTATGAATTTTAATTTATGCTTATCGAGCCCTATTCTGAAGTTGACAGGAGAAACTAATTTTGATAAATAATATAAATGACTTCAACACGAACGTTATTTTGGGTATTTTATTATGGGTTTAAAAATTTTCCAGTCCCGTTGTTGTGAAGAATGCGGTAGACAGACAAGCTGGCAGGCAGGCATGGGCCCGTGTGGTGTACGTTAAGGCTATATAGCACGAAGAACACAAAAAACCCTAAAAAGTGCATGAACTTTATTTGTGTAATTTGAAAATATTAATGTGACAAAGGTAGAGAAGAAGGAACCATAATGAATATATTGAGAAATTTTAATAGAAAGTTGCCAACTGAAACATACATTCAGGTACACAGAATGTGTGGTGTAGGAAATATTCATAACAAAATAAAATGATAAATATTAACGATATTTTAGAAAGTAGGACTACAAGTAATAAGTAATATGTTAATATTTAAATCATGAAACGCAATATATTGAGATGGTCTAGGTCTGTATTTAGAAACACAGCTAATAAACTGACAGGTATTAGGTAGTGAAAACGTAAAAAGTTAAACTGAAAATAGATTACTAAAAATTTAAAAGAGAAAAGGAAAAAAATCAATAGCGTTTTAATTGACTACAGAAAAAATACGAGAGTTAAGCAGGGAAGAAAGGAAAACTGAATATTTGGACAAACGAAAAGATAATCATTGTTTGATGTCGTATAAGGCATAATGCTGAAGTTAATTAGGGAAAAATTGTAAACAACGCTGATTAAGATTAGTTGCTGAGCAGTCATGAAAGAAGCAAGGTGACTCTTGACTGTGTGAAATGGTAAACGAATTTTCTATCCTATCCATTAATTAATTGTAAAATTTTAAGAGAATATATGATTCTTCCTATGGAATCCTATTAAAGGGCTGCGTGTTTGTCCGACTATCCTCTAATTAAATTACGTACACTAATCGACTGATTTACGTGAAAGTTGGTATTATCGTGTCATTGGAAACCGCATCAGCCTACCTAGATACTTTATAACTCCAAGTAATCAATAATACATAGTATGGCAGAGTGAATTTATGAGGTCGGAACAACACTAGCGCCATTCAATGTATCACGGTGATAGAAATGTGAAAAAGATGGAATTATAACAGCTGTTAACTTTTTTTAGGAAAATGGAATATACGATAACTAGATAGCAGTAGCGCGAAATATATCGATGCGTGGACAACGCCCAATTAATCATCATAACTTGACGTTTTAGATTTGTATTCTGACATGTTATAATCATGGTTCTCTGAATGTCTGTGACTGGTTGATTCATTATAAGAATACACATACAATCTAAAAGTTCAAGTTGGCGATGTAAAAAGTTTCGGATCTCACGTGATTCGATTATGTTGGAAAACGGAAAATATTACAGCTGAGGATAGCCGTCATCGTAAGTGTTGCGCCATTTATAGTCTGATAGAATTTACCGACGTTTCAGAGGCGCTTACTACCTCCATTATCAGTTTGATGAGAGCCTCTGAAACGTCGGTAAACTGCTACCAGACTACACGGAGCAACATCCCAGTAAATGCCGTAGCGAGAAGCTGAAATCTCACCGGAAACGTTTTAAGTGAACAGAGTATCCGATGACTGTTAATTGTCTATTCCGAAACTTAGATATATTGCTGGGAAATAAAAGAAGACGATTACGCGCACAATAACAATATGGTTTGACAAATCAGAACTTCCAATTAATTTTTAACGGGTTCTAATTCTAAAGAATATACATTCAGGACATGGCTTTTCACGATATTCTGCCCCATTTAAATGTAAGAAAGCAACGCTAGCTCGTTCAAGGTACCCACCTACTTTTATATATCGTCGGTATCAACTGAATGCGCAGTTGTGAATTTGGTACAGTCAATAAACATGGGTACAGAGTAGCTGGAGACTCATGTGGAAGCTAGGAGCGAAGTTATTTAGATGTAACAGAAAATTCTCGTTGAAATAGATGCCTCCCGCGCACTACCGTGAGGTCAAGACTAAAACACTGGACTGTACTGTCTTTTGTGTTTCTCCTGTCTTGCGATGTGTGACGGGGATCTCTGGTGTGTAAACCTGACACTCCTAGATAACAGGATGCCATTAATCTACTATACAACTAATTATGGGAACGGGGTGTCAATATGTGTGTTGGTGAACTGATGATGAAATTATTGCTCACCCATTTCTTCCCTTCCGGGCACAAAGAAATGTAGAGAGAGGCACAAATATCACCCATCTCGTCACTTTAAAATGTAATTAAAAGGCGATACGTCATAGTGAAGTATCCTTCAGTGGAAATGTTTCTCTCTCAAGCCTTTCTGTCATACTGCGAGACAAATCTACCCTTGTCACTCAGTATGGTATCACATGTGCATTCACTGCCACCCCATCAAGACAGTTTCCACCCCCCGAAATGTCTTTCATGATTGTGAAGCCACGTAGTTGAAAATTAGGCGCGGTACATTTTTTTTTTGTCCGTTAAAGCAGTTGGCAGTTGGTGGGCCTCACTAACGCATTCCTGTTCACTGTCTACAAGAGCAGGGACTACGAATCTTGCAGGAGTCCGTCGCATGTTTAGATTTTGCATCGAAATATTTGTCATGAGTAGCACCTCATTTGCCATCTAGCAGATGTTGATGCATCTGTTTTCAATAATACGTGACCTATAATTTGCATTATAATTTCATCCGCCTTTTTCATGGAAGGACGTCCTAAACTTTCAACGTCTTCAAAATAAGTCACTCAAACTTTTTAACTCGGAAACCACCCTTAACATTTCACTTAAGCTCACTGCTTTATCTCCAAAAACCATTGTCATAGTTTTCGTAATAGTGTATCCTAGTTTATACCATACTTGATGGAAACACGCCCTTATTTAAAATCTATTATCTCTTTTAGAACAAGAACGAAGCACTACATACTGCTTCACTCCATGATGCATTAATTCTAAATTATACATCTCATGTTATATTAAATTAATGGAAAGGGTTCAGCATTACCACACTCCCCCCCCCCCCCCCCCCGATTCCAATGCTGTCAGTCTGGAAAACGTTTGATCGTAGCTCGTATGTTTCTGGTAGGAGAACTTTCCTTGGGAATATCCGTAAGACATTCCGAAGGCTGGCTGTGGCGGCTACGATGCGATACATTGCTACGGCAACCTTTTACAATGATTTGATTTGTAGTACCATTTGATTAGTGATAAATTATAA